TATATATATATATATATATTTAAAAGGTTTTTGCCATAGGGCACATGTGTTTAGCAGAGAGAGTCAGACAGAGAAGTGAGAGAGAAACGAGAACTTACTCCCCAGGGCCATGCCGCCATCCCCTCTCCTCCATTCTTTGCTGAGGCCCCTGGCCATTCAAGCACACATGCCATGTATAATTATCAAGCTGCCAGGTCCGGGACTCAAACCGCAGTTGACCATGAGGGAATCCAGCGCCTTAACCACTATGCCACCTGCTGGCCCCAAGTATATTTCTTACTACGAATAATGGTAAAAATGTTTGAAAAACCAATGTTTGAGGAGGCATTCTGTGGTTCAAATATGCAGAGTCTCAATTTGTTTGAATGAACTGAGTAGCAGTAGTTAAACTTAGAATTTTTGGTAATAAAATTTTTTAAAAAATCAGTGACTATTTTTCAAGTTAGTACAGGCTTCCATCCATTGATCCATTACATCTCCTCTGAAAAAGAAAGTCAGCCTCTGTCCCCACTGTCCCCCACACTACCCCCACTCTATTTACCGTGGATTCCTAGTGGGTAAGCTCCTGGTAGCCTGTCTGGGCGTGACTCTATTCCCTAGACCACCATGGTTTGGGTTGGGGTGGGCCTTGAACCCTGAGTGGGTGAGAAATCTTTTCTTGGGAACTTAGAATTGGGACCCAGAAAGAAAGTCATTGTCTCTGCTGTTGATAATGTGTATGACACCAACTTTGACTGGACTAATATATAGTGTAGTCATGCTGGGAAAACTCATTTTGTATGATGCAGTGATATTCAATAATTACATATAAAATCATAATAATGACAATAATAAATTTTAAAAAAAGAAAAGAGAAGGTCATTGTCTCTGGGTAACTGTTGAAGGGATTCAGTTTGGGCACATGATCTGAAGGACAGGGAAGGCCAGTCTGCAGAGAGAAAAGCAGAGGGAGAAAAATAGGAAGGGAGTCAAGCACTTTACCTGGGTTTGGTTTCAGTTGGAAGCAGAGTGAAGGAGGCCCAGGAGAGAGCCCTGCTGGGTCACCAGTGCATGGGACAGTGCAGCCATTACTGTTTGGGGACTCTAGAACCTTGGCTGAGCATGTGAGGAGAGAAGGCGTAAATGCATTCCTCTCCCCATCTTCCCAATCGCTTCCAGCATCTTGCTGATACTCCACTCCACCTCTGCCCCTGGGTTCTAAGGAAGTCCCTGTATCCTTAAAATAAACTCTGCTTTTTCACTTAAGCTAGCTCAAGTTGGTTTCTGGCACCTGTAGCCGAAGGATTTTAACTAATACGTGCTCAGAATTTTCCTCCTTTCACTTCCACATCATTTCTCTCTTGTGGGCTTCAGTCATTAGAAAAAGCTGCCAAAGACTTAAGAGGTGCGACCTATGCAAAGCCTCTATGCTGACATTAAGCACAGAAGTGAAACACAGCTCACACCTTTTCAATGGTTCCTGCCCAGTGGTCCAGACTCTGGAACTGAGAAGCAGATGTTTCCAGAATAATATCACCCTATAATCCCCAACTTCCATGCCACAACCCTCCTGCCCCCTTTGCAGTTTAATGGAAAAATAGCTCTCCACCCCCACCATCTCCAACCAAGAGCAGTAACCACATTAGGCGACTGAATGATGTTTTTTGACTGGGGGGAGAGTGTGTGGCTCTCTGTGTATCCTATAGCGTTGTGAGTTCATTTTGGTAGAAAATCTTCAGAAATATGGGAAGGCGGACAGAAAGTACAACCTCAAGCCAGTTCATTTTCTTCTAGCCTTTTACAAAGGCCTGAACCCGCTGCAGGGACTGTGCAAAGACTACTTGATTTGGGCAGGATGGAGACTTTAAGAATGAGAGGAAATGTACAAACAGAATCCCTGGACTGAAAATGGTCGGTTGAGCAATGGGAACATTTGCTTGGTGGCTGGTCCTTCGGGCGGATCAAGGCTGCTGGTATACCTCAGGAGGTCAACCACAGAGAGTATAGAGGGCGAGGGGGATGTTCAGATGTTTAACACCTTCTAGCATGATCGGAGCAGATGCCAGCCATAAACAACTGCTACAGCTGCTCTAGTGAATAGTGGCTATGTACTGAGTGCCCTGGTAGGGGGCATTTGTTGCCTAGGACCCCTAGCATCCATTCCCAGGTCTTCTGATAAGAGCATTTCCCCTTTGTGTGCTGTGTAGGTGGGACTGTCAATCAAGGGTTAGGCGTAAGACCCAAGTCAAGCCAGCGGGCTGTCTCTTTGGAATTTGACATTGAGGGAGGTGGCTCTAGGAGCTAAAAAGTTGGCTCTCCAGTGGAAGCTGGCACCTTGAAGGGCCCTGGATTCCTCAGTCCTGCCTTTGTGACTTTCTTTCTAAGCTTGGATTTATGGCTTCCTCTCTGTGTCCTTCCCTCCCAGCAAGTTCCTTTTTGCTTAAATAAGAAGATGGATTTCTGTTGCTTGCATTCAAAGGACTGTAATGAATATGCCAAGGTTCTCGGGCTCAGTGAAGATTTCCACGCCTAAAGTATGGTGTGGAACCCTCGAGGGAGGCTGGACTTTCACTGATCACCTCAGGCTTTGATGAGGAAAGCAGCAGCCAACAAAGCACATTGGACATTAAAGGCTCTTCTGGGTGTGTTTCTGGAATGTGTGAGCTTGCCAGAGAGAGATACAGAGACAGGGAAAGATGGAGAGGGAGTGGTGGGTGGGAGAAAGCATCCACAATTGGGATGTGGTCACGCAGTAATCTCGTCTCCATTTCTCCTCCCTTTTGTGGTTTTGGGCAAATACCAATGGGTGCCTCATGTGTTTTCCAAGCCACCAGGGCTGAGAGCTGAACCACGCAGCTGGCCACGTGGGATCTCGCTCCCTTCACCATGAAGCCATGAGGCTGGCCCACGAGGCTCTTCTGTTCTGTGAGGTCACTTAAATTCCTGGACTCTCATAACATTCCAGGAGGGAAGGGCCTCCAGTTTTGAGATGGCATTTCCTACCACGCTGGTGGCGTGGAGACACAAAGAAAATGACACTGATCTTAAGGGAAGGCTGAAGATGGCATTTCTTAGCCTATCTGAGTTTCGGCTGAGGGTTGGAGCCACTGTGTAACATGTGCAGGGTCATGACAGGGACATGACGATGATGAAGCACGTGACCTGCCTGGCTCTGATCCAGGCTCTGCCAGTGCTTCCATAGCCCACCCCCACGCCGTCCAACCTAGACTGCTACCTGCAATGAGGCACCGAGAGAATCTGCCCATTTCCGCTCTTGATAATTGTGCCGCTTGCAGCAGTTTGGACGGCGTTTGTTTGGCCCCTGTCCTCACTGGTACCTTCCCTGATGCATGCTGGGTTTTCTTTCTTTCTTCTAGAAAAGGCCAGTGCCTGACCAACCACCCCATTGGTGCTTTATTGTCTTAAAGATTGAACGGCTCTAGATCACTGCTTTTAGACTGGGCTGCCCGCCGCAATTGCCCGGGGACGCTTTACACATTTGGACGCCTGGTAATCCCAGGAAACCTCACTTAACTGATCTGGGGTGCGACCTGAGGATACAGCCCTCTCAAAGCTCCCAGCTGATTGCAGCCTGGGTTGAGAACCCCTGTCTGATAAACTCGGGAATCATAGAAAGGATACAAACTCAGCTGAGGCAGCGTCCAGGTAGAAAGATATCGAAGCCATATCAAAGCCACTGGGGGAACTCTTAAAACTCTCTCCACCCATCGCAAAGTACCTTCGGTTGCACTGGGATGGACAAGGCATCTGCATTTTAAACAGCATGCCTGCCGATTCTGCTATGTGGCTGGGGCTAGGAACCACTCTGTGTGGGCCGGAAGGTCCACTGCCCATTATATTCTTTACCAGGGTGTCGGAGCGTGGTCCCCAACCGAGCACCAGCACCAACACACGGGGCTGGCGACAAATGTGGGGTGAGGCCCTGCCCTGGACCTGGCGCCCTCTCTAGGTGAGGCTGTTGTCTCTGAAGTTGGAGAAGCACTGCCCTGCCTGCTCCAAGGTCACCTTTTCTGAGCCTGGTCAGTCAACGGTGCTTCCACATGGACCCTGTTCTTCCTTCAGAGGCTCTTTCCTCTCTTGCTGTGTTTTCTCAATACAGAAGACAATTCTCCCACCTAGGTGGAAGAGCTCTGTTCCCCAACCTCTTCTTGCGCCTTAGAAAGAGGCTGCATTTATGTTACCTCGATCTCATTGTCTCCTGCAGGGGAGGGGTCGCTGCTCCTCTTGGCCCGGCCTCGGAGTTTTCCGTCGGAGGCCCGATGCGGCCTGTCAGTGTCTCCCTCTTTGGCCGGCGTGGCAGGTCCGTTGTGTGTGGTGTACTCACCTGGGGTGGGAAAGGGCAGGGTGGACAGATCAGAAACTTGTCTGGTGCCTCCTGGGGACTGTCCCACCAGCACGGAGGCACCTCAGAGCAGCAGGTGTCAAAGGCTGTCCTGAAGGCAGAGACCATGTAGAATTAAAACTGCTGGGCCAGCCCCATAGCCTAATGGTTGAGGAAGCTAGATTCCACATGGCCAACTGTGGTTCAAGCTCCAGACCCTGTGACTTAAAGAGAAAAAAGAGAAAACAACCTGATAAAATAAATGTCCCCAAATATTACTCAAGTTAAGTTAAAAAGAGCCCAAAAAACAAAACCTGCTGCATGCCTGTGCATGCATGCCCAGATTCCAACATGATGGAGAAATGGAGGAGAAGGGACTGTGATGTGATCATGCCCCCCGGGGGGTGCTTTCTCCCTCTCTCTCCCCTTGTGTCTCTCTGGCTAGCACACATGCCCTCTGGCAGTTCAAAAATTAAAAAGTTGGAGGTCTCTTACACTGTCCATTCATAACATTCCTTACGTTCAACCCATCCAACAATATTTGTTAAACAGGCACCATTCCAGGCTCTTAAATTCTAGCGAGAGAAGAGACTTTAGACAAATAAGTAAATACCCATCGCAGCTGGGGACATGCATACAGAGAATGAGTAAGTCAGGACAGGGGAGCAGGGGGCGCTGAGCAGTTACTAATTTAATAAGGGGGCTTCAAAAAGTCCGTGAAAAACGTGTGCTATGAAAAAACTACACATGAATTTCAACATCTTTCAGACCGAGATGAACTTGTACTTTAATTGCATTTTCCCGCAAACTGTTTGAAGTCCCTTCGCCTATGTGACAGCATCTAACACAGGCCTGGCAATTAGAAGGTGACTCAAGTCCTGGCTTGACTAGATGAACAGATCTGAGTGGATCAGTGAGAAGACAGAGCAGGGTGTGGGCACCTACTGCGTCTCATTGGGGTGTTCCTGGGTGTGGCCCTGGTGGCCCCAAACAAGTGAAGCAGGACTCCAGACTCAGGCCCCAAACTGGCTTTGAAGCCACGGTGTCATTGGAGCATAGAAGTTTCCAATGCATGGTTGTTTAGGACACTTTATCACTGTCATCCAATGAGGGGGCTCGAGCTCAGTGAGGTGACATCACTTACCTGTTGTACCCTACAAAGTAGTGGCAAATGTGAGCCTGACTTTGTCACTAGAGAATGGCAGAATTAGAAGCCAGTGTGGAACCTTTGAGGGCCTCCCAACCCACGTTCTCACTTCTCAGCTGCGGTGTCAGCGCCCACATGCCTCCTGCGACTCCGTCTCTCCTTCCAGAATCACCAGTTCTTGGATCACCAGAGGGAAACGCCTTTGTCTAAAAATCCTTGGCAGTGGACTGATTTTTTTCCCTACCCTGGAAGGACTATTTCCCCCAAAAACCCAAAGGACTGAACTTTGTTTATTTAATATTTATAAAACTTCTTAGCAGACTATGGACCTTAAGAAAAGATGTGATTTTGAGTTGTCAGGATGGCTGGGTGTTCTCCAACTCCCTCGCATTTTCAGGAGACAGCATCAGAGGTTCCCAGACAATGAGGGAGCAGACTTTCTTCCAGAGAAAGAATTTCTTCTAAAGTCACAGATGCTGAAGAGCAATGTACATAGGTCTATTCTGACTCATTTGGTGCGATAAGGTTATTTGGGCTTAGAAAACATTCACTGCTCCCATGAAAACCCAGGCGAATACTAAAAAGAGGGTCAACGCCAGTCTTCATGAATAAAGCCATTCTAGTGCATGTGTGGTGGAATCTGAGTGTTCGAATTTAGTTGGCATCTTTTTTTTTTTTTCTTTTGAGAGATTGTTGCTAAAGGGTGCATGTGCTCACCAGAGAGACAGAGAGACAGGAAGTGAGAAATCGCCCCTCAGGAGGGTTGGCCATGCCACAATCCCTTCTCTTCCATTGTCCTCTTAGGATTTGGGGCATGCACACACACATGCCTGGCATGAGTTTTAAGCCACCAGGTCCAGTACTCGAACTGTGGTTGACTACGTGGGAGTCCTGCATTGTAACCATTATGCCATCTGCTGGTCCCAGTTTGCATCTTTCTAGGGACTAATGGTGTTTGTTATCTTAATCATATGCTTTTTTTTTTTGGCCATCCTTATTTTTTGGTGAAGTAGCTGTTCAAATCTTTAGCTCAACTCTCTTTTTTCTTTTTTTTTTTTCATTTGCTGCAGGGTACATGCGCTTACTGGAGAGAGACAGAGAGGGCGAGGGAACGAGAGGGAAAGTGAGAGAGCACCACCCGAAGGGGCTACCGCACCACAGTTCCCTCTCTCAGGGTTTGGGGCACACACCTACATGCCCCTGAAGTGCTGTTTGTTGTTTGTTTTTCCCTGGCGTGGTTTTCAAGCTGCCACGTTTGGGACTTGAACGGCACAGTCCGCCTTGTGGGATCCAGCCGTCTTTTTTTTCTTTTTTATAATTTTTTATTTTACTTATTCATTCATTTATTTTTTTTTAGTTTGAGAAGAGACAGAGGGTGAGAATGAGAGAGAGAGGAAGTGAGAAAGCAAGCCACCAGATTCAGGACTTGAACCCTGGTCGGCCATGTGGGAGTGTCCAGCGCCTTAACCACCACGCCACCTGCTGGCCCCAAGGGATCCAGCCGTCTTAATCACCATGCCACATGGCTGACCTTACCCAATTCTTTTTTGTAATCAGTTTCTCCCAGACTGTATCCTGTCTCCTGCTTCTGCTGTCATGTATGAGAAGTCTCTGCCCAACCCAAACTCGCAAAGATTTCCTCCTGTGCTTTCTTCCTTCCTTCCTTCTTTCCATTTTCCTTTTCTTCTTTCCTTCCTTCCTTTCTTTTCTTTTTCTCTTCCTCTCTTCCTCTCCCTCTCCCTTCTCTCTCTTTCTTGCCAGAGGGTGTGTGTGCATGCCTGAGAGAGGAGAGAAGAAAGCCCCCCGAATAGGGCATGGCCTTGTTGCACTCCCGTCTCCATTTCTCCATACTGTTGGAATCTGGGGGCATGCACGCCCACACACTGGTGTGTTTTTCAAGATGTTGTGCCGGGACTTGCACCCCAGTCGGCTACGTGGGATTGGCTCTCTGTGCATAGGCTAACCACTGCACTATGGGGCTGGCGCCCGTTTCCTCATAGAAGTTTAGTTTTAGAGCTAGTCATGCATTTTGCATTATTTCCTTTATGTCATGAGTTGTGTAGATTGTGTCGATTGAAGTACAGCTTTTTTTTTTTTGACTTGTTCCAGCATCTTCTGTTGAAAAGATAACCCTTGGGGGCCAGCAGATGGCATGGTAGTTAAGATGCTAGACTCCCACGTAGCTGACCATGGTTCAAGTCTTGAACCTGGAGGCTTGCTTTCTCACTTTCCCTCTTGCTCTCTCTGTCTCTCTCTGGTGGGCACATGTGCCTTATAGCAAATTAAAAAAAAAATAGAATTAAACAAATAAATAATTTATTTTAAAAAAGGAAAGACACCCCATCAGGTGATGTTTAGCCCCCAGTATTAATATGGCAAATTATAATAAACCGATTAATTTTTAGATTTTTTTTTTAAAAGAGAGTTTTGCTATAGAGTATGTATAGTCACCAGAGAGACAGAGAGAGACAGAAAGTGAGAAATCACTCCCCCCTCCGGGGGGGATGGCCACGCCACAGTCCCTTCCCTTCTCTTTTCTTCTTGTCTTGGGATTTGGGGCACACATGCACATGTGACTGGTGTGAGTTTCAAGCCACCAGGTCCGGGACTCGAACTGCAGTCAACTACATGGGAGTCCTGTGATGCAATTATTTTTAGATTTTTAAACCAACCTTGTGTCCCTGGGAAAAAACTCATTTGATTGTGATGAGAGAGCACCACCCGAAGGGGCTACCGCACCACAGTTCCCTCTCTCAGGGTTTGGGGCACACACCTACATGCCCCTGAAGTGCTGTTTGTTGTTTGTTTTTCCCTGGCGTGGTTTTCAAGCTGCCACGTTTGGGACTTGAACGGCACAGTCCGCCTTGTGGGATCCAGCCGTCTTTTTTTTCTTTTTTATAATTTTTTATTTTACTTATTCATTCATTTATTTTTTTTTAGTTTGAGCAGAGACAGAGGGTGAGAATGAGAGAGAGAGGAAGTGAGAAAGCAAGCCACCAGATTCAGGACTTGAACCCTGGTCGGCCATGTGGGAGTGTCCAGCGCCTTAACCACCACGCCACCTGCTGGCCCCAAGGGATCCAGCCGTCTTAATCACCATGCCACATGGCTGACCTTACCCAATTCTTTTTTGTAATCAGTTTCTCCCAGACTGTATCCTGTCTCCTGCTTCTGCTGTCATGTATGAGAAGTCTCTGCCCAACCCAAACTCGCAAAGATTTCCTCCTGTGCTTTCTTCCTTCCTTCCTTCTTTCCATTTTCCTTTTCTTCTTTCCTTCCTTCCTTTCTTTTCTTTTTCTCTTCCTCTCTTCCTCTCCCTCTCCCTTCTCTCTCTTTCTTGCCAGAGGGTGTGTGTGCATGCCTGAGAGAGGAGAGAAGAAAGCCCCCCGAATAGGGCATGGCCTTGTTGCACTCCCGTCTCCATTTCTCCATACTGTTGGAATCTGGGGGCATGCACGCCCACACACTGGTGTGTTTTTCAAGATGTTGTGCCGGGACTTGCACCCCAGTCGGCTACGTGGGATTGGCTCTCTGTGCATAGGCTAACCACTGCACTATGGGGCTGGCGCCCGTTTCCTCATAGAAGTTTAGTTTTAGAGCTAGTCATGCATTTTGCATTATTTCCTTTATGTCATGAGTTGTGTAGATTGTGTCGATTGAAGTACAGCTTTTTTTTTTTTTTTTTTTTTTTTTTGAACCGAGAGCTTTTTTTTTTTTTTTTTTTTTTTTTTTTCTGAACGCAGAGACTTGTTCCAGCATCTTCTGTTGAAAAGATAACCCTTGGGGGCCAGCAGATGGCATGGTAGTTAAGATGCTAGACTCCCACGTAGCTGACCATGGTTCAAGTCTTGAACCT